ACGTATGGTAATGAACCGAATAACTGTCACGTTCACAAAGGCTGAGGCTGTACAAGAATTTGCTTGAGATAATGATTCGGTACCTTTCGTAATCGATGAAACATGTCATTCATTATGATGAATGATGTAGCAATAACCGTAATTAATAAAGATATTTAATTAAATCATTTTGTTTGTATAACGGCTAATGGCTGAGTATTTTCAGAGGTCGTTTTGAATGAAATAAGTGATAACGATGATGATAAAACAATGCCAATCACGGCGATAACGACGCAGAAGACCATAGTCATGAAAAGGCACCTGCAAATGAACGGGACGCCTTAAACGCTATACTTTACACAAAGGATTATATTATAATGGCATTTGACAGAGAAGCCAACCCGTCCCTTTTCATAGTTGCTGAAACATTCTTTTCAGGACAATAACGCCTGAACGAATCAGTAAATAAATTCATGAGCGAAAAAAAATAAAGAATCAATCAATCAACTAATTGGTCGAGTAATTACAATTAGGAATATGATTTATGATTAAGATCAATCCTACTGACGGCGCTACAGTGTTCACCATGATTATCACAGGCAAGAGATGATCATCACCATGATAATGATGGATATGGTTATGAGTACAGTCTTCGTCTGTCGCATGGCTGAAGGTGGGTGTTGAGCAGCATGTTCATATTGAGTGTACAGATTTCTAAGCCAATGAATGACCTCCGCAGTGATATTCTGGACATCAGTTATGCTGCTGTCAAGCACTCACAAGGAAAAATAAGGGACAGAACAATGACTCTCACATGGTGCTATAGCTATGTACTGTGCAACGAGTGCTAAGGCTTTAGAATACAATGAATTTCATCACCTGGCAGCCAAACACTGCAAAGCAATCCCTCACCTTGATTAGCAACAACCCCAGCGGTTCACCTCAAGACCGTTGCAAGTCTCATGATCGCGGAGTCTTAATGATGGAGATAATATCGGAATGATAGTGATAATGAGAATAAAGATAGCCTCAATGACGATCATGCATGAACCACGATGACTATCGCATCATGGATATAATGACGAACATGGTAATCGAGATGATAGTGGTAATATGGCTAAGCTGATGGTCGTCTTTTGATTCTCTGCAGATCAGATGGTAATGAACAAAAAAGACGCCCATGGCTGTAGCAGGTAATGACGATAACTATGATGGAGCGATGAATATAACGGTCTAAATACTGTTATAAATAAGGTGATCATGACAAAGATAATGAAGTGATAGCAATCGTACCGTTATATCATGAAGATCACGAATCTGATGAAAAGGATATAACTGTGGTACCGTCAAGATCATATCAAAATAATGATCACCATGATGAAAATAGTGATATTGGCGATGATGATGTCAGCTATGATGATGACCATGAAAAGAAGATGATAACAAGGAAGCAGAGTATGCCAATTGTTACTGAAACCAAAATAATGGTGACAAAAGAGATGATGACGAACTTGGCGATGAATGTGACTGCACACTCAAATTCGCTTTTCCCGATCCATGCTTTCAGGTGGCTAGGAGATCAAAAATGACCTATGTTCATTTACCAAAGCTATGCAATAGCAAGAAACTCTTTATGCGACCTTCGACCAAATAGCCATTGAAATTTCAACTGCCCCTTTACGGCTAAATTTGTAAACTTTAAGTTGGCATCAGTATTTATCCTGATCAGTGGAACTTTGATTCGTCAGGAATTAGACAACTAATCAGATGACTCATCGCAGAAATGTCAGTGAGTCTGCAACTCGTTGCATATATGACGTCTGTGAGCAATGATATATTATCGTTCATTATGTTCTTGGATCACACGGCGAGTTTCATACGGCTAATCGGATGCTTCAAGAAACAGGCGCCAAGTTCAACTGAAGACACGGAATGCTACAACAGATTTTTTTTGGTGATAGAACGAACATTTATATGACCTTGCAGTGATTCATGACAATCACTCTTTGGCAACCCAGGGAACAGGAAAGATTAGTGATGGAAAGAGTGTGATTAGCTTCTTGCATAGCGTAAATCGCAGTATACGGTACATAATCGTGATAATCCCTAGTTTTAAAATATTAGGACATTTGAATATCAGCGCTATTGTACAATCTTGTGATATGCTGCATAATCACAGCCTCATAGGTGTTTCTGAATATGATCATTGAAGAAGATGAGAGCACATCCCCAATGTTAAGTAGCCTACAGTTTTACAATGCAGCTAAAATGAGTAACCATAAAATGAGCATAATCATAATCGACGACGAAAATCAAAGTTATCCACCAAGCAGTTCCACAATCATTGGACATCTAGAGCATGATAAATGAAACTATCGTTCAAGCCTCCTTTATGCGATTAGTACAGCATTTCAGTAAAGTAATGTAAGCACCGGCTTACATAGGCATAACATTGAAATAATCATGCCCTCTCAGATTACAGGAAGAGTCACGAGGAGCAGCAATTGATTAGAAGACCAAGTACTTTTGTTAACATGGTAATCAGAGCAAACAAACTGAAACCGACATTTTTCTGGGTTGGACATATTGGACGAGGGAATGTGCCCTGGATAAGGATGAGGAAGATGCTGGACTCGACTGCTAGCACGTGGGAGCGGCCAAAAGTATCACCAAATACACACTGAAAAGAGTAAATAATGAAACTTCGTGGAACATTCGAAAGCGGGAAACTCAGCACATGCTCTTGGAGAAATAATCTACATATTACTTAGGTTTTAGTACATAAAGCGAAAAAGATCTCCATAGACTTGCAACAAACAAATGTGTAAAGAACAATTTTTTATTCCTTAAAAACCATCGCCTCGTGGGAGCACACATCGATCAAAGTGAGATGAAGTACGGTAGGACTAGTTCCCTTTTAGCTGCTTCGGTAACCGAGAAGCCCCGTCATGGCCAGCAAAACGGTCAGCCAATTAGGCTTCAGGAATTGTTGTAAGATTCTGCCTGGTTATCATATCCGCCCAATGGTCGAAAAGCGGTTGACGCTGTTCAACCGGTCGGAAGCGAGCTGCATCCGTGGGCTGGCCAATGGCGGCCTCCGATTCACAAGCAGGTGCCTGTTCACAGTGAAGCCATGTGGCCGCTCTGCCACGTTGTACGTCTCCGTCGCTCATCCCGACAGAGTAAAAAAGGAAAAGCAACCAGCGGAAACCTATATATGACCTCACACCAGTGCAACAGGGTTTTGGCGCCTGGCTCTTCGACGCGTTGGCCCGAGGACATTCTTCGCATTGGTGCGACGATCCTTAATGAACTACATGCACATGAAGACGATGCCATTCACTTTTCGGCGTCAGCATTTGCGACCAATCGTCAAAACTGTCGCCAGCTTAAGCTTCGTGAGGTGTCTGATCATTTCTAACTGGTTCAGGGAACGGCCCTCTCGAATCGAAAGGTTAGAAACTGTTCTACAACCGACGGGTGCTGAACTCACAGGCTCGGATGAGGGCTTGATGGTCAATTTGAGACACCGTTATCAGCTACGTTTCTCATACTCTGACTATCCGTTTTATGAATGACGTCATTTCCCTCGTTTCAGCTCACCACCTATGAATTACCTCTGCATCAAAATTTTTTCTACCTTCGCAACAAGCCGCTCTTCCTTAGTCATAAAGCAGATGGTATGACATTTAAGCTGCCGGTGTTCTCCGACGATTAATACGGCTGGTAGGCATCGATCCTTCCTTCCCGCTTTGTTTGACAGATCTCTCTTAAACGCATACGGAGCCACATCAATCCCCTTGTCAAATCTCATCGATCGCCAAGCCTACCATGTTCATAATGCGTTGCGTCGACTTCGGTAAACGCGTTGTTAATTTCACTGAGGCAATTAAGTTAGGATTGTCTCCTGCCATTTCCTGCAACATTTGTCATGTCAATCGATTGAAATCGGCTAAATTCAGGTACGGAAAACCATGTTCAATTAAATGTCTAATTTTGCTTTCCTATCGATCTATGAATCATCATTACCCTTTATATCGGTAATTTTCACATCAAACAAAACAAATCGACAACTACAGCCGCCACTGTGTGGTTCAGTGTGCTTGAGAAGGACCTAATCTACGTCACGCACGCACAAGTAAAGATAGCTCACAAATTATTCAGATGACAGCAATCGCAATAAATAGCTGCAGATTAAGTAAAGTCACTTTCTTGTCATAAAAAAGTCAATATGATAAATGATTGTTTGGAAATAAATAATTTTTTATAACTAAATAAAATCGGTTTACGGATTCATTACAAAACAGTTATACATGAA